CTGTCGCGGGAGGACCCCACAGCCGATGTGGTTGTACACCAGTACACCAGACATATCTTTCGAGCGAGAGATTCGCCAACGTGTGCAAATTATGCATTGCAACGGACTGCAATAGATAATCAGGCGATGTTCCCTGACGCAGCGTCCGCAGTTCTAGAGAAATTTTATATGGACGACTACCTAGACTCCTTTGAGGACCCTGATGTTGCATTTAAAGTGAGTCAAGATTTGATTACTCTGTTAGCTCTAGGTGGTTTTAAATTAACTAAGTTCATAAGTAACGTAACTACATTTCATAAAGAGTTAAACCCGCCCCAAAGCGCGCCGCAACAGGAAAGTAAAAACTTTGTAACTTGTGGGGATAATTCTTCTCATGTTCTTGGTCTGAAGTGGTACCATATCGACGACACTTTGGTCGTAAGCCGTGGTGTCAACCGTGAACTTAAAAATTCGATAACACAGCGAACAGTGTTAAGTTTTGTTTCTTCCGTTTTCGACCCCATAGGTCTCGTAGCGCCCTATACCGTAAGAGCGCGATTATTGTTGAAAGAAATCTGGCGCATTCATGGTCAACAATGGGATGATGAGCTACCCGTTGATATCAAGACAAAATTTTCTGCCTGGCACTCTGGTTTGCCATCTCTAGGGAAAATGAGTATAAAGCGCAGCTACTTCTCCGCACCAGTCGATTGGGTTGAGTTACAAATGTTCGGTGACAGCTCAGAAGAAGTTTTTTGTGCTGTAGCTTTTCTTCGCGCCCGTGTGACAACTTCACTCGAAACACAAGTTGCCTTCGTCTTTGGAAAAGCAAGAGTCGCGCCCATGAAAGCGCTTTCCATCCCGAAGCTTGAACTGCAGGCCGCGTTACTCGCTACCCGCTTGAAGGAAGATGTCCTCAAAGTTCTAACCATTCCTGTGTCAAACACGTTCATGTGGACTGACAGCACCACTGTGCTCCAGTGGTTAAACTCAGGTAGTAAGCAACCCACGTTCGTGGCAAACCGGATTAAGTGGAGACAACCCTGCTGATACGGGAACCAGAGGAATCTCAGCGGAGTCCTTAAAAACAAGCAGCTGGGTGAACGGGCCAAGTCTGCTGAAAAGTGGCGAGTGGCTGTTCAAGCCGAGCATAGAAATACTTAAGAAAAACCGCCTGGCTGGTTCCGCTTGTGACCTTAATGAAGGTTTACAGCAGGCTCTAATTTTTCAAACGTTGCACCAAAACAAAAACAACCCATTTTATTTGCATGGGAAGAATTCAGCTCGTTTCGTAAACTCCAGCGAGTGGTTGCCTCCATGCTCAGACTTAGTCCAAAACACCGGCACTACCGGACTAAAGTAAAGGAAATAACCGATCCGGTTGAATTAGAAACCGCCAAACAACGACTTTTGTTGATTTCCCAAAAGGAATCTTTTGAAGCGGAATATTTACTCCTGTACGGCAACAAAACCGTCAAAAAGTCTAGTCGTATTGCACAATATGCACCATTTATGGGTCCTGCATTCATCATTCGTTCAACTGGGCGAAATCGCCGCCTAGTTGAAACTGAATATGACACAAAATATCCCATAATCCTTGATGGAAGGCATTCTCTGGTGAAATTGTTCGTAAGTGATATTCATTATCGCTATCAGCACCAGTTCTTAGACTAAATGCGAGCTGTAATTCACTTAGAGTTCGCAATCTTGAACCTTCGCTCTTTATTAAAGTCCATTGAAGTCCACTGCCTTATATGTAGGAAGCGCAAAGCCAAAACTGTCACACCTATGATGGCAGAGCTTCCAGTTGAAAGGCTTGGTTACCGCCAGCCTCCCTTCACAAACTGTGGTGTTGATTACTTTGGACCCTTTTACGTCTCAATCAGGAGGAGTTCTGAAAAACGATGGTGCTTCCTTTTTACATGTATGACCGCCAGAGCTGTACATATTGAGATTGTCTCATCCATGGACACGAGTTCGTGTGTAATGGGAATCGAAAGGTTCATTGCCCGTCGCGGCAGTCCATCAGTCATTTGGTCTGATAACGGCACCAATTTTGTGGGAACCAAGAAAGAACTCTTAAATTGTATTCAGTCGTGGAACGGGCAAGCACCCCCTGAGCTGGCGAAAAAAAGTATTAAGTGAAAATTTAACCCCCGACAGCCCCGCATCAAGGTGGTTCTTGGGAACGTCTCGTTCGGTGTTGTAAAAGGGTATTCTACGCAATAATAGGAAGTAGAAAGCTCACTCACGAAGTCCTTGAAACAACTTTCTGTCTTTTAGAACAATCACTGAACGCTCGACCCATAACATCAGTAAGTGCAAGTCCGGATGGTTTCGAGGTGTTAACTCCTAATCATTTTTTGTTAGGCCGAAATGGTACTAGCTTTCCTTCTCTCTCTTTCCAGGAGCACTTCGACCATCGAAAGCAATATATCCGAGCGCAAAGCTACGCCAACGCAATTTGGAGTCGTTGGCTGCGAGATTATGTGCCAGCGCTGAATAAACGCAGTAAGTGGCACTCCGATAGTGACGTTATTTTAAAAACAGGGGATTTAGTGTGGATTGTTGACGAACGCAACCCAAGGGGACACTACCCTCTGGCTCGTATAAAAACCCTTAATTACGGAAAAGACAACATAGCCCGATCCGCCGTAGTTACCACCCGCTCCGGGGAGCTAACTCGACCGGCCGTAAAACTCGCACCCGTTTTCGCTCCTTTGGGCGCGGAAGATATTCGCGCTTAAATTAATCTTAAATTAATGACCTCATTATAGCGCGAAAGTGAAAAAGCTAAAATTAGATTTGCTTAGACAAAAGGCCTTGAAAACTACTGGTTTGTCCGATTAAGGTCAGTTTGCCATCAAAATGTTTATAGATTTTTGAGATGGTTGGAAACCGTATTGCTAAAAATATTAACCGAAAAATGTTTAACCGATATTACTTATTCTATATATTATCTGTTGAATTGCCGATAATTTACAGATATTGAAGCAGGTTTTTGTAAGGTCTTACAGGATACGAGAGAGCGGCACACCCCTCTCATCGAAAATTACTCCTCATCGAAAATGATGAAAAATGAAACTTAAACTCCCATTCACTGCAAATTATGGAGCGCATACAAAATAGCAATATGCAAGATATATTGTAGTAAAAAATATCGACTTGCAAGATATTCAATTTTAAAATATCGAGGTATTCCATTCCGAAATTTCTCGAGGGGGCGGGTTTTCAAAAAAAAATGAAAATTTTCTCGACCTTTTTTTAGGTCGACCAAATTGATTTTCTGAGCTCTCCCAAACCTTTATAAGACCCTAAATTCACCCAAATTAGCGCGTTTCTCCTCAAAATTTGTAAAAGTTGGCGCCTTTAGAAAAATTTTATGGTCAGTCAGCCAAAAATGGACATCTCAAAATAGTTACAGGGGGAACCCTTGGGTCGCCAGGGGGTCAAATCCCTAAAGAGAAGGGGCGTACGACCCCCTCAAATCCGCTACTGCTTTGCTCCTTTTTTGATATCCCCCATCAAAGTTTTATCCGCCACCCGAACCTGAGAGATAGCCAACCAGAACCCAATTCTACTTGGTTTGCCCATCTCAAACAGCTAAGTAGCTTGAGCCGAACGGCCTCGAGACAACTCATCGCCTCTTTAGCTTATCCATTCACACAACTTCACTCATTGCATGAGAGAGCGAGCCAAATTCGCTTTTGATAAAGTCAACACTCTCAAGCAGGTTTTGACAGGAGAGAGCGGATACAATAATCTCCCGAAGCCAACCCCCCAAGGGCCAGTTAGACAAAGCAGGCACCCAAGTTGGGGCTGTCCCGGACACAAAAGACATCCGTTTTTTGTGAACATCCATATTGGAGGTGGAAGTGAATAGTGAGACGGATGAACTTTTGGAGGGAGACCTGATTATTATTTTTAATATATATATTTTTTAAGACCATATATATACTTTTTAATATTCCCACATTATTCATACCAAACTCTCTTTCTGATTTTGCTCCCGTTGATTCGTAAAACAGACATAAAAAAACTGTCTGGGTAAGTTAGGTACCGTAATTTCAAAATTGCGCCATGAGTTTTTTAAAAGATAAATGTTTCAGAAAAACGACTTCAAGCTGGAACGAAACTCTATCATTTCAGACTACCTAGGAACAGAATGTGATTGACTCAAAAAATCAACATTTATAGTTTGTGACAATATGTGTTTTTACTAAAACTTCAGTCACTTTTTCAAGTTTTGTCCAAATATGTCTCTAGCCAATTTTACCTTCGAAGTCATAAGAACAGAATAAATTGTTAAGTTGAGTTATTTTACCTGATTGACAAAAAAACATTCTAGTACTTAACATCCTGATAAAATTAAACACTGATAGATTAGATTAGAAGAAGTCACCATACAAATCCTGCAGATGTCAAATTTTTGATGTCATTTGGGCTTCCGATGCGCGTATCAGATCTGATCACGTTTCAAACAGATCTGGTCATGTGCACCTCAGACCTACCTAGTCATGTGTCTGCCAGACCTGGTCAAGTGTCTGGCAGATCTAGTCATGTTGTCTGCCAGATCTAGTGGTGTCTCTGCCAGATCTATTCATGTGTCTGACAGATCTAGTCATGTGTCTGCCAGATCTGGTCATGTGTCAGCCAGATCTAGTCATGTGTCTGCGAGATCTAGTCATGTATCTGCAAGATCTCGTCATGTGTCTGCCAGATCTAGCCATGTGTCTACCAGATCTGGTCATGTGTCTGTCAGATCTGGTCATGTGTCTGCGAGATCTAGTCATGTGTCTGCCAGATCTAGTCAAGTGTCTGCCAGATCTACTCATGTGTTTGCCAGGTCTAGTCATGTGTCTGCCAGATCTGGTCTTGAATCTGACAGATCTAGTCAAGTGTCTGCCAGATCTAGTCATGTGTCTGCCAGATCTAGTCATGTGTCTGCCTGATCTGGTCCTGTGTCTGCCAGATCTAGTCATGTGTCTGCCAGATTTGTCATGTGTCTGCCAGATCTAGTCATGTGTCTGCCATATCTAGTCATGTGTCTGCCAGATCTGATCATGCGTCTGCCAGATCTAGTCGTGTGTCTGTCAGATCTGGTTATGTGTCTGCCAGATGTAGTCACGTGTCTGCCAGATCTGGTCATGTGTCTGCCAGATTTGGTCATGTGTCTGCCAGATCTAGTCATGTGTCTGCCATATCAAGTCATGTGTCTGCCAGATCTAGTCATGTGTCTGCCAGATCTGGTCATGTGTCTGCCAGATCTAGTCGTGTGTCTGCCAGATCTGGTTATGTGTCTTCCAGATTTGTTCAAGTGTTTGCCAGATCTGGTCAATTGTCTGCCAGATCTAGTCATGTGTCTGCCAGATCTAGTCATGTGTCTGCCAGATCTTGTCATGTGTCTGCTAGATCTAGTCATGTGTCTGCCAGGTCTAGTCATGTACATGCCAGATCTAATCACGTGTCTGCAAGATCTGTTCATTTGTCTGCCAGATCTAGTCATGTGTCTGCTAGATCTAGTCATGTGTCTGCCAGATCTAGTCATGTGTCTGCCAGATCTATTCACGTATCTGCAAGATCTGGTGATTTTTCTGCCAGATCTAGTCATGTGTCTGCCAGATCTTGTCATATGTCTGCCAGATCTAGTCATGTGTCTAACAGATCTGGTCGTGTGTCTGCCAGATCTGGTTATGTGTCTTCCAGATCTGTTCAAGTGTCTGCCAGATCTGGTCAATTGTCTGCCAGATCTAGTCATGTGTCTGCCAGATCTATTCATGTGTCTGGCAGATCTTGTCATGTGTCTGCTAGATCTAGTCTTGTGTCTGCCAGATCTAGTCATGTGTCTGCCAGATCTGGTCATATGTCTACCATATCTGGTCATGTATCTGCCAGATCTAGTCATGTGTCTACCAGATCTTGTCATGTGTCTGCCAGATCTAGTCATTTGTCTGCCATATGTAGTCATGTGTCTGCCAGATCTCGTCATGTGTCTGCCAGATCTGGTCATGTATCTGCCAGACCTAGTCATATGACTGCCATATCTGGTCATGTGTCCGCCAGATCTAGTCATATGTCTGCCATATCTAGTCATGTGTCTGCCAGATCTAGTCATGTGTCCGCCAGATCTAGTCACGTATCTGCCAGATCTGGTCATTTTTCTGCCAGATCTAGTCATGTGTCTGCCAGATCTTGTCATATGTCTGCCAGAACTAGTCATGTGTCTAACCGATCTGGTCATGTGTCTGCCAGATCTAGTCATGTGTCTGCCAGATCTGGTCATGTGTCTGCCAGATCTGGTCATGTATCTGCCAGATCTAGTCATATGTCTGCCCTATCTAGTCATGTGTCTGCCAGATCTAGTCATGTGTCTGCCAGATCTTGTCATATGTCTGCCAGATCTAGTCATGTGTCTACCAGATCTGGCCATGTGTCTGCCAGATCTAGTCATGTGTCTGCCAGATGTGGTCATATGTCTGCCAGATCTGGTCATGTATCTGCCAGATCTAGTCATATGTCTGCCATATCTAGTCATGTGTCTGCCAGATCTAATCACGTGTCTGCCAGATCTTGTCATGTGTCTGCCAGATCTAGTCATGTGTCTACCAGATCTGGTCATGTGTCTGCCAGATCTAGTCATATGTCTGCCAGATCTAGTCATGTGTCTACCAGATCTGGCCATGTGTCTGCCAGATCTAGTCATGTGTCTGCCAGATGTGGTCATATGTCTGCCAGATCTGGTCATGTATCTGCCAGATCTAGTCATATGTCTGCCAGATCTAGTCATGTGTCTACCAGATCTGGTCATGTGTCTGCCAGATCTTGTCATATGTCTGCCAGATCTAGTCATGTGTCTACCAGATCTGGCCATGTGTCTGCCAGATCTAGTCATGTGTCTGCCAGATGTGGTCATATGTCTGCCAGATCTGGTCATGTATCTGCCAGATCTAGTCATATGTCTGCCATATCTAGTCATGTGTCTGCCAGATCTAGTCACGTGTCTGCCAGATCTTGTCATGTGTCTGCCAGATCTAGTCATGTGTCTACCAGATCTGGTCATGTGTCTGCCAGATCTAGTCATGTGTCTGCCAGATGTGGTCATGTGTCTGCCAGATCTGGTCATGCGTCTGCCATATCTGGTCATGTGTCCGCCAGATCTAGTCATATGTCTGCCATATCTAGTCATGTGTCTGCCAGATCTAGTCATGTGTCTGCCAGATCTAGTCACGTATCTGCCAGATCTGGTCATTTTTCTGCCAGATCTAGTCATGTGTCTGCCAGATCTTGTCATATGTCTGCCAGAACTAGTCATGTGTCTAACCGATCTGGTCATGTGTCTGCCAGATCTAGTCATGTGTCTGCCAGATCTGGTCATGTATCTGCCAGATCTAGTCATGTGTCTACCAGATCTTGTCATGTGTCTGCCAGATCTAGTCATTTGTCTGCCATATGTAGTCATGTGTCTGCCAGATCTCGTCATGTGTCTGCCAGATCTGGTCATGTATCTGCCAGACCTAGTCATATGACTGCCATATCTGATCATGAGTCCGCCAGATCTAGTCATGTGTCTACCAGATCTAGTCACGTATCTGCCAGATCTGGTCATTTTTCTGCCAGATCTAGTCATGTGTCTGCCAGATCTTGTCATATGTCTGCCAGAACTAGTCATGTGTCTAACCGATCTGGTCATGTGTCTGCCAGATCTAGTCATGTGTCTGCCAGATCTGGTCATGTGTCTGCCAGATCTGGTCATGTATCTGCCAGATCTAGTCATTATTCTGCCATATCTAGTCATGTGTCTGCCAGATCTAGTCATGTGTCTGCCAGATCTAGTCATGTGTCTACCAGATCTGGCCATGTGTCTGCCAGATCTAGTCATGTGTCTGCCAGATGTGGTCATATGTCTGCCAGATCTGGTCATGTATCTGCCAGATCTAGTCAAATGTCTGCCATATCTAGTCATGTGTCTGCCAGATCTAGTCACGTGTCTGCCAGATCTTGTCATGTGTCTGCCAGATCTAGTCATGTGTCTACCAGATCTGGTCATGTGTCTGCCAGATCTAGTCATGTGTCTGCCAGATGTGGTCATGTGTCTGCCAGATCTGGTCATGTATCTGCCAGATCTAGTCATATGTCTGCCATATCTAGTCATGTGTCTGCCAGATCTAGTCATGTGTCTGCCAGATCTTGTCATATGTCTGCCAGATCTAGTCATGTGTCTACCAGATCTGGTCATGTGTCTGCCAGATCTAGTCATGTGTCTACCAGATCTGGTCATATGTCTGCCAGATCTAGTCATGTGTCTACCAGATCTGGTCATGTGTCTGCCAGATCTGGTCATGTATCTGCCAGATTTGTCATATGTCTGCCATATCTAGTCAGTCTGCCAGATCTAGTCACGTGTCTGCCTGATCTTGTCATGTGTCTGCCAGATCTAGTCATGTGTCTGCCAGATCTTGTCATGTGTCTGTCAGATCTAGTCATGTGTCTGCCGGATCTGGTCACGAGTGACAGAGATCTGATCAGAAGTGAATAATTTTCAAAACCAAAAGACCTGCTACACACCCGAAGCAGCCATGCCCATGCGTAATTTAGACATGTCACAGATATGATACAGGCCTGAAAAATGCCTGATTTAAAAGTTTTCCGATTTGATTTTGTCGATAAACTTCAATACGGGTTGTACTTTCTATCATTCATTGAATACAGTTAATTTATTAAACACAGGAAAAGTTTGTTCTCGATCGAAGTATTTTTTGGTCGGAAACGCTCCTCGGTCGAACTCAGTCGAAATGATTTTCTTCGGTCGATCATAGTCAAAACAAAGATAACTTAGGTTCAAGCAGTCAAATAAAATCGAGCGTGGGTCGACACGGTCAAGACAGCAGTTTGCCAAACATAAATTGCAAACCGCGACCTGACCCCGCCCTCATAGTGTCTGTCTCTCCCAGTGGTACACTCTCTTACAATGGAAACAGAGCTCTGGATCAGTCTGGTAGACCCCATCAGCAGCTTAGGTCAGTCTGGCAGGATAATTAGCATATCGGCAGTTTTTCCTTCGATCGCACCTGTTTTGGTTAACTTTCCTTCCATCAAGCCAATCGCGGACACCTTTTCCTTCGTCTGCAGAGCATAAAAATACCAAAATTTGATCATAAAACCACTGGATAATAAAACCTCAAACCAGGTACTCGTCGGTACTTACCAATAGTTGACTTTAGTAACATGTGGTCATCTTTAACTGCACCTTACATTATTTCCATATTAAGCACAGCTCTTTCTAGTTTTCTTACCAAATGCTCAAATGCTCCACTCACCAACGGGTTTTCTCCTTTGCTGACGCGACATGCACAGATATTTTCAACAACTCCAACCACATACTGTTTTTCAATTTGGGTCACAACGGTCTGAACCTACAAAAATTTGGTCCAGTGTTCTGAACTTACCCGTGCTTAACAAATGCGATATTTTTCACAGGAAGCACTTGAAATCTAATCAAATTTTCTGACTGGAAGTTTTTGTTAAACGTTTAAGCAAAGCTTGGATTTTTTCAGAATACTTACACTCTAATCTGGTTTCTGTATTTGGACAAAATTTTTCCAAATTTTGGCTAGCTCCAATCTGTCAGAAAATAAGTCATTGGGTAGATTTGAACCCCATCCGCTTTGTGATTTGCTGACAAGTGACTTTAACAGGAGTCGAAGTAACTTGAAGAGAATCGAAACTTCAGCTTCAAAAGTATAACCAAATGATTAGCAAGTCGAACAATCACCGGCAAAGCCGAACAAAATCGATCAAATTCAAAACAAGACTGCTCGTATCAGGGCGAAGCCCTGAATGTTCCGAATGCTTTTTGAGGTTTGTGGAGCAGTGATAACATTAAAAAATTAAATGAAATAAAACTAAATGAAATTTTTTTTCTTCTAAAATTTGAAGTTTTTTATGAAAATCATCCCCCACACGCCATATAAAGTACAAAGGGATAGATTTCGCTCCTTGCAACAAATGAATTATGGCAAATACGCTTCTTTTAAACAATTTGGAACGATTTCTAAGACGGACTAACTCTCCGCTTACGCGTTAATAGCGCGAAATATATAGCGCGTTAATTGTCCCAAATTGGCCAAAATGGCAATCTTTAAACCCCCGTAACTTTACGAAAATTGACCACAGGTGAAATATCTTTTCAAATTTAAACTCAGGGCAACAATATCTTTAGAATGATATTAAAAAATTCCCTTAAAAATGGGTAGTTGAAAAGTCAAATCAGCATCGAGCACTTCATTTCAGACCTCTTAAACTATTCATGATTGATTCTTGGACTTGATTCTAGGTCTTAATAGAAATAAAAAATGGATGGAGGTGAAAAGTATTAAGTTCTCGAAAACAGCTTATTGGCGGTATTAAGTTTTAACGACAGATTTCTGCGATAGGGTTTTGTTACTGTTCCGACTTTCGATACGAAAGTAACGGAATATTTGTGCTCGGGTGGGTTTTTTTTTCTTCAGAAAAATTTCGACTTTTTAACTAGCCATTGTTGACGGAATTTTTTTTATATCATTCGAAAGGTATTATTATCTTGAGCTTAAATTTGAAAAAATATTTCACCTGTGATCATTTTTCGCAAAGTTATGAGGGTTTAAAGATTGCCATTTTGGCCTTTTTGAGCAATTTGGGACAATTAACGCGCGATATAATTCGCGCTATTAACGCGTAAGCGGAGATTTAATCCGTCTTAAAAATCGTTCTAAATTGGTTGAACGAAGCTTATTTGCCATAATTGATTTGTTACAAGGAACGAAATCTCTCTTTTTGTACTTTATATGGCGTGTGGGGGGATGATTTTCATAAAAAATTTCAAGTTTTAGAAAAAACAATTTTCGTTTTATTTTATTTCATTTTTTATGTTATTACTGCTGCTCCATTAACCTTAAAGGCAGTCGGAACATTCAGGGCTTCGCCCTGATACGAGCAGTCTTGTCTTATTTGTAAGGTAAAATATTTTTTAGATTACGTAGTTTTGCAGAGTATCAAT